CTAGCCATCTATCTTTGGCTGTGCTCACGCCCCAGCTGCTGCTGGTTCAAAGTACGGTCACTGGCAGGGAACCAGCCACAAGGCTGCGAAAAACACCCACACAGCCACTTCACATACAGAGGGAAGCAAAAAGAAACAGAATGTCTTTGGAACAAACGAAAGTCTCAGACTCGTGCCTAGTGTCACATAGCTTTTTATGGCTGAACTAACAGAACGTCGAACTTGCGCTAGATGAGAAAAGTCTTTAATGTGTTCAGTGGGAGGATTGACAAAGTTAATGTTTAATCAGCCCGTTCTATAGCACACATCTGAATGCCAGGGATACTGGATAAAAGAGTTTATATTAGATGCATTCTGTAGTAAAAAGTATAGTAACTCAAAATGTGGTGACACAAATACATTTTCTGTCGTAAGTGTCAAATTTGCAACAAATGTAATGAACACAGTGCAACAAAAGTTGAGTGCAGGTATCTACTAGCACATAAGATTACACACACACACACACACACACACACACACTCTGTGAGACATGATGTGGGCCTAAGTGAGGTTAATCAGAGTGGGAAGCCTTGAGTTATTCAGCCCTCAGCGGTCATGTTGAAGTAAATGTACTTTAGTTAATTCATTTAGGTGATGGTGAGCCGCAATATGGAGGCTATTTGGCATGGCTTACATGAGCTACCTTATCCCCAGAGCACTCAAAAACGAATATATTTGAGAAAATCTTGCTTTCAATTGAAAGAATTGCAGTAGTTTTTGTAGACTCGCCTGATTCCAAGGTTATAAACATGCAATACCTCACATAAACATTACCTGCTGCTGCACGCTGACTTTAAAGTGATCGCTGGATTTTCTGCACCTTTGGTCTAGTGCCAGTATATCTGGGCCAAGGTCTGGGTGTCAACGTTAAGTAAAGGTGCTGTGGAGCCGAATGTGTGTAGGTGAGTGTGTCTGTTTTTCTCTGGAATATCGTATGACTGTATTCATGTATATGCACGTTCATACATTTTGTGCCAATGTCTTTGGGCTTTCTACTTTGTATGTGTGTGTGTGTGTGTGTGTGTGTGTGTGTGTGTGTTCTCCCATGCACGTGTCCCCTCACAGGCACTGCAGGTGAGCAGAAAGTCATGTTCAGCAACCATCCGGAACCTTATAGTGAGAGGTCAGACAGTGAGTTCAATGGTATAAACACACACGCACACACACACACGCACGTGCACACACCCCTACATACACCCACACAAACACACACTCACACACTCACACACACAAGTTGGAAGATTTCCTTGTAAGGCCTGGCTTGTTCTTGGAGTATAAACGTGACTGTGCCAGTGTTGCAACAGCTATTGTTTGAACTCGTTTGACGTGTCTGGGTCATTGCTGATACAGTGTTCTGTTTTGTTCTTCTTTGGGAATATGGCTGGTTGAGGTGCGGAACCTGAGACGCAAGGAGTGGGTGGGTGCCAGTTTTGGGGTGCGGCAATCAGCAGATCAAGACTAATGAGAGTAAATTCAGCCAAAAAGAGAGATGATATTGGAGCTCTACCGGGCAGGGTGGGGGGTGTGGGGGTGTGGGGTGGGGGGTGGCGTTCCAGTTACAACAATTTCTGGTGTGATTAATAACTGACTTCGGGGGAAAGCAAGGCTGTGCCTGTTAATTATATCCAACCAAAACAGGGTGGTGGATGTTCTGTTTTTCCATCTGTGTTCTTTTGTATGGCTTTTGTTCAAGAGGAGAGGTTACACTTGATGAATTTAGAGCTTACAGCACCAACAAATTGAACAGAAGATGAACAAAATTACACATATTCATATCATAGATATTTTTCCAAAACATCTCCTTGCTTTTTTTTATTCTCACATATTAAATGATAATATTAAAACATGGGATTTATTTGTCGTTGTTGTTGTTTATACTTACATTGGTAAGGCTGTGGATGAACAACTTGCTGCCACCAATCATGACAATGTCTTTCTCTGCCGGAGTTGCGTTACACATTATTGCTTGCCAAAACTAAATGGATATAATTACACTTCAAATTATCCGCATATTGTTTTTATTTCCTCACCGATCAGAGGCTTATCAGGTGACAAGATCAGCTGATATTTCAACCTCAGTGTCGTTCAGCCTGATCATGTTGTTACATGAGCTATTTGGGGTAATACGAATGTAAACAGTGTGAAATGTCTCCCTCGTTTCAGTGCATTGGATCTGTCACCTGCTTTGAACTTCAGGTGAGTCTTGAATATAGTGCACACAAGCTAATGGGATAAGTAGGTAATGTACAGTTATAGAGTAACATTTTACAGACTTTATGCAATGTGAAAACCTCAGTTATTACTGTCAATGAGAATTCATCTACGTGCGTAATTTTCTTAAGAATTTACATCCCAAGGGCAGCAACACTCTCTGAGAGAATGCCAAGTCTTCTCTTTAATTAGGTATGAGATCATCTCTCATTTAACTGTGATTTGTAACCTGTAAAGGTAAAACTGACTTATGATGATGGTTGCACAACCCGTGGACTAAACGTTTTAGGAAATCTCTCTTGCTCAATCTCTCTCTCTGAACCTCAAGAAAAGTGTAAATCTCAATACCTCACATACAGCACAGATTGCTGTTCAACAAACAGATCTTGCATTTATTTGTAATAATGAGATAAAACATATGACAAATAGCACTGTGTATGTATAAGCTACATACAGCACAGACAACAAAATGATATATTTAAAATGTAACACCTGTAGAATATGTAAGTACATATAGATCTACATTTTGATGCAATTGAAACAGAGTAATATATTTTGCCAACACAAGAAATTAGATGTTCACAGTAATCATATTGTAATGCCACTGAGCTCTGCACAGAAGAAATAAATGTTCTTTGTAACAGGAAACCATAAGTGAGCCCTGCCCTCTTACTTCCTGGAATAGGCCAGATTTATTGATAGCATTACAAATATCAGACAGCTACTACACACACTGGATTACTGAGGGGCATAGTGGGCACACACACAGTTACAGTACAAAATACAGTACATTTGTCACTCAACGATCAATCTTATTCTGAACTCGAATAGTAGCAGCCAAAGAATAAAACCATGCACAACCAACAGTCAAACAAGACAAGAAGCAACAACAGACAGTGGAATGAGTCCACAGTTTACATTACGTCTCCATATTCATCCATCACCAACAACACAAAGCTGAAGAATCAAAATATTTGCTGGTGTAAAAGATAGATCAGCATGTATCACAAGAAAGAAGTGAAAAATGTACAAAATGTCATGAAAAGCTAATTTCTAAAACATAAATCTTCCACAACGTCACTAAAAATATATTTTGTACTCTGTGTTCAGTGTTTACAGCCAAGCTGCCTTCACTGCAGGATGATACAAAGGTTTCTAACTGTGGGTGACGCAATACATTTCCCGGCCCTGGGGAGCTGAGCTCGTACAGTGAGCCATATTCCTGCTGATCAGATTAGTAGCACCATGCTGCAGCACACACAAATGTGTGTGAGATGGGTGTGTATACAGTATGCGTTTGCTTGTGGCAGTGGCTGCGTTCGTATGAAGGAGTAATTTCCATTGCAGTGCCCAAGCCTTTTCCTGCTGACGCTGGCGTTTTGTCAAAAATGACACCTGACTTCCTGTCCTCAGGGATGAGTGATCGGATACCCGGGGCAGGGTGGTTACACCCGCCAGAGGTTTACTGGCAGGGCAGTTTAATTGGGGGTAGGATGGAAACCCATGCTCACCTTTTCTCGCCTCTCTGTGAGGGGTTCACTCAGGATAGAGGCATGAGATGGGTTGGGGCTGTAATATAGGATGCAAGTGATGATGCATGATGAGGTAATTAAATAGGAAAAACATAATGGACAAGGTGGATGTGAAGAACCTTTTCCTGTACTGAGCCTATTATTATCTATAACAGGAAACCTTATGCAATATAACCAAAATGAACAGGGTTTATTTTAAATTCTTGTGCATGTAAGGGATAACACAACATGAAGTATAGTTTTGCTATGGTTACCTGTAATTTAATATACTTTGATGCTGAATTGAGTGATCTAGTGGTATTGTTGTAGTGTACATTTTAAAACCTTCACGATTTACTGTGGACACAGTATTGATAGTTATTACTTGGACCTTTGCACGCAGGTTGCGGTACATGGGCATATATAGTTGTAGACACACGTGTTTGACTACAGGACATTCCTGAATGCCACATCAACCTTAGCAGGACATTCAAGCTCAGCCTAAATAGACAGTCTCCCGCCTCTAAACCCTTATTAACTCCTACCAGCGTACGGATTAAGTCCTGGGATCCAGACAGCTAACAACCCTGTATGTGTCTGGTACAAGCTGCTCACCCATTCACAATGCTTTATGACTGGCTACAACTCACAACCTCCTTCCACCGCCTCCCGCAGTGGGACATTTGCAAAACAAGTGCTTAGTTGTAGGGGACAGAGGAGGAAGGAGAGGGGAGTCAGGGGTGTATTTCAAAGATTAGTCGAAGATGGGGAAGGAGGAGGAGATAAGAAGGACGTTTTGACTGATATGGGCTTTTGAAAGCTGATGTTGATCTGACTGTGTAACCAGAATGATTCACTTATGTAAAGGTTAGCAGACATGAAGACAATTTTGCCCATCGCATCTATTCAATAGTGAAGAAAACATTTAAAATTAGGTTATATAAAATACATATGTATTCTGTGAGAAGCCTGACTGTTTGATGTCTGATGTAAGAAATGGCTGCTGAATATAGTAGCAAACTGACATATTGGTCTAACTTGAATAACAGTTTCTTCAGAACAGAGAGGGCAGAAGGGGCAAGAGGCATTGAGGCGTTATGTGCTGGGTTTTTCACGTGCACAGAGGCATGGGCTAGTCCACATGGAGCAGACACTCCTGCAGAGTCAGTGGACTAACTTTTCTCTGGGTGTAAGGACAAGACATTTCACAAATGACCAAAACACTCTTGAGAACCAAAGTCAGTCATAAGAGTTTAAGATTTAATAATACTGACAACATGAAGGAGAAAACTTCGATACATAGATAAGCTTAGAACATTAAAAGTAAGTAAAGTAAACATAAGTCACATTTTTCTTTACCTACCATGTTTCATGAGTCAGTGTGCGAGATATGATGTAAGATGCATTGTCACTTTCAAGCTGGAAAGTATTTTGCAACAGATTTCAGGGTGTGGGAAAATACTTTGCAGATTACCTTACACATCTGTGTGCTGAGATTCCAGTCAACAGTTGCAGAATAATTGCCTTTGGTAAGTCTTATTTATTGTCAGCGTGAACTGGGTTTAAACAAATGAATACATCGAAAATCTCAGGTACTTATGGAGGCAAATGTTTCTAATCGAGGACACTGGTGCAGTTCTCTAACAAGTAGGTCAGATTCACTCGTGGCTCCTTCTCAAAGGCAGACATGACCTATTACAGAAATTTCACACATAAATGGGAAGCACAGCACAGTGCATTAGGCAAACACAGTCAACTAAATGTTTGAAAGAAATTCACTTTCCCACTCACTGTATGCCAACTGGAGCACCAACTCTGAACCACAACTCCTTATAAAACCAACAGGCCCAGTGCGTAGCAAGAGAGAAATATATTGCCTGGCCTGTAGTCTTCAGGGAAGAACCTGTAAACCAAGAGTGAGTTCAGAGCTGAGAACTAAAGTAGTCATTAATCTGATCAATTGTGGTAGTAACTGTCACTGTGTTATACACACTACTTTTTTTCAAAAGCTTGTTGATTGCTTGGGAAAGATACTTTGAGGTGAGTCCAGTATATTCATATTGTTTGCATATTGACTGTCTCAGAGTTTATCTTACAAGTAATACATGCAGAGCATGAATACATGTGTTCATCTACTATACACACCTACATATACATGCACACACACTTTAAAATGCTGTAATGTTAGCACTTCAACAATTACACCTTCATAAATGAACCACAAGGGCTACAAAGAAACACTTTCATAACCTCATCAGCAGGCCGTCTTGCTAACAGCAGGTAGATTAGGGACTAATGTTTGCCCCCACGTGAGATGTTGTGACCTTGTTGCCAGTTTGCTGAAGTTACATAATGTCCCCAGACAGGTGAAAAAACAAATGACCAATTACTAGTGTCTCCCTGGAGAGCGACAACACAGCCGCTGCTATGACAGGTCCAGTGCAGCTGCAGGTGAGGACGTGGTTTGTGTGTTTTGGAGTTGCAGATTCCATATGCGTTTGGGTGTGCACACTTAACTCCACGTGTGTGTATGTATAGTGAAGCCTACGAAGCTACACAGTCTGCTTGGGCTTACAAAACACCACAAATGAATGTAAAACTTATCCAGGGTGAAGTGCAGTGCATGTATTTTTAACACAACACAGTTCAAAAGTAACAATAAACAAAAAAACATAAACTTATGTTAAGCTAATAATATCGTCATTCTTGCCCTCTTTCCCAAGCTTTGGGGAACAAGTGAATTAAATCCTAATAGGATTACTATCAACCCTGAATATTTAATTTAATTTTGCAAACCTAAATAGCTAAAGGAGGAATAATATTCTTTAAAGGTTCTTATTTATGTGTTTGTGACCTTGTGTGTTGGTTTTCGTGCGACGTGCCTCATCTGCCATCCCAGCTGAGATCACAGCAGGGCCTGGGCAGAGCAAGCTGACGCCCATCACAGCCAGTGGTAATCCTGAGGTGATGACATTTCAGTCTGGATTTAAACAGGTATGGCAACAGAGCATTCCTTTCTGCATAGGTTAAACCTGAGATGAGGTTATATAACATAACATGAAAACACATGCAGATGGCTTCCTTTTTACTGATATCTGTGAGAAACATGGCCCATTTACAAATGCTTCACTGTGTGTGAGTGTGTATGTGTGTGGTGTGTGCTAGAGCCCTGGGCAGAATCTTTAAAATGCTAACTCTGCTGTAGCATAATGCCCCCAGGGTACTGTTGCACAACAATTCAGCAAGCGCTTATCTCCCCTTTGTGGAGAGTATGCATGCTTTGGATGAATCTGGTATCTGTTTATCCTGTATTTTTGTATATACTGTATTTTCTCATTATGCATGATATTATCCAAATGGGTGTTGGTATTAATATAGCAAAATGAAAGAGCTACCTCACTGCTCACAATCCTATATATTATAATCAAACCTTTTCCTGTTGGGTCTGTGCTGTTTTATAGTACACTGTTATAAAGAACATGAAGTGTGTTTTTTGAACTGGATGCCAACTGCCTCAGTGCCTGACAAATTATACCCTTTCCACTTCCCCAATGGTTGTTCTGGCACAAAGGCAGTGGTTAAACAAAGTTATACAACAGCCGACAACTAAGGTTTCTTTATGCAGAAGTCTAAATTGGGCTCTTGGGGATTCGGTGCTGTGAGGTGATAGTAAATGAAAGAGATCTCATACTCCCTGCAATCTGTAGGGAGAAGAAAAATCAAAGGAGGAAAGTTTTGATCTTAAGAGTTTCCTTTGGGGCTCATGTCTTTGGTCGGAGTCAAGAGGTTAATGCCTGTTTTTACCCGCAATTGTGAAGGCGTCCTGCAGTGCTGTATCACAACTCTAGTGGCACACAGGCAGCATATATACAGTACCCACAAGCACAGATCCCCACACAAATACATTAACATAATAATAGTTAAAGAGGTAGGCATTTACACCCACACACATCCACCCATGCAAACATATACACAGTAATTTCCACCTCATGCAGCTGCCTCCTCTTACAAAATGACTCTTCCTTCTTTCCGGGAGGCTAACAGGACAAAACCATATGCCTTCATATTTTACTGTTTTTTTCTCAAAGTATATGGCAAAAAAAACCTATATAAAAACAATGAAAATGCCACATATTACACATTAATGACACACTGTAGCATTCATATTCGATGGTAAAAGTGCTTTTCATTTCAACATTTACTTCCACCAGCAATTGTAAATGTCTCCTCTTTTATTCCCTCTCTTTTAACACCTTGTTTATAAGTTTCAAAGTAGTGATAAAAGAAACACTATTCCTTCTAGATTTGTTAAAACTACAGCATGGTAAAAAAAATAAGATGCTGAATTTGCAAGATCCCAAGCAATACCACACAAACACATGCATACTCAACCTGTTGTTCAGTTGCAGCACAAGCGTGCTGTGAGCACAAGAATAACTCCTCCGACTTTTATACCTCGGCGAAATGCAGAAGCCGACCACGTGACGGTGAGGTGACATCTTAGCGCGTTTTCCCATCACGCCCTGCTGATGTGATGTACAGCGCTACACTGAGGTAACTTGTCTGTGACCACAAACTTCCCCTATCTGCGAGGGCAATCAAGAACAGTGGCGAAACGACCCCAGCCCAAGGGCCCAACCTTTGGGTGGCTCTGCTTCCTGTGATGAAAATATCTCCAGCAAAAGAAAAAAAATCCCACATCTGTCAGACGTTGGGCAAAAGTTTGATGCAATACACTGAAAATCATCATATGGAAGCAACGTTGTGGCACCACTACATAAGGTAGAATCTAATATTTTGAAATGAATTGTGGGTTTCTGAATTTAAAATAATGTATTTAATTGTCCTGTTTTCTGTTTTAGCCACTAATTTTTTTATTGAACAAGAGCGAGAAGAAGGGACAGAGAGGTGACTGGTCCATCACAGGAATCTTTTATTTTGTACTTTCGGCCAGTTCAAAGAATTTAAAAATGAATAGACAATAAGACAAGATAAGTTAAGTAGGTGTAGTGTCATATGTATCAATACATTTTTTCAAATAATTGAATAACAGCCACAGTTGATATGGTGCATTTGTTAACTTTTATATGCAGTGTGCATGAAAACACACTGTGGTTTATTCTGTTCAAACAAGCCAACCCCTCCTCATCCCCCAAAATCTTATAAGCGTAAATTACATTCACTTACAGTAACTGGAAGTGTGTTGTTAGACAATGTGGTTCTAATCACATGACATCCCAAGTAGTCTACTAAACTGAAACTGAATCCATGGGGGATTTCCAGTAGTGATTTACTGTACACACCTCTGAGGTCTTCAGTGTACACTTGTTTCAGAGAAAAAGGTTTATCCTCATAGTACTCTGTTCAGCTTTAACTAAAATTGTTTCCTTGAAGCAGTTTGGCATCATCAAACTCCAAGCATGGGCTTATTTGTCTGCCAAGGAGAGGAGTCTCTTATGGGAACACTAAAAGCCAAACAAATTAAAAGAGATTGGGCGAGATTACCGTCCCAAAAAAGCAGCTTTATATGGGAGCCGTAAAATCACGGCCAGGCAGTGTTTGTTTGTGTGCAAGTTAAAGAGCTCCTGGCAGCTGGTGGTAAGTTGTTGTGAAGATACTGGCCAAGTTGCTACATGAGCTGTAACATTATTGATCAATCTGCAGGGAGAAGGTAGGAACCCACACACATGCACTGAGAAAACACAAGCAGACATGCTCATCTTTAAACATGCATATGCGTTCTCTTCGGTCTGTAGATTTATCTGTTGTTGCCTCCACTTGCCCGGAATGCCATGCTGCTGTCTTACAGAGGATGGACAGAAAATGTTTAATGGTCAGCTTGACCCTAACAGGACTGTCAAAGACATAAAGCAGACGCAGTAACCTGGCTCCCACTACACTTGTCAGGATATGGGTAGGAGGGCTGTGGTAATTACTGGCACAAGTCACTTTGGCTGCTCCACTAAACATACAAGTTACTAAAATGTCAAAGCTTTCTTACTCCATGTTCATGTCATTAAAAAAGCTGTTTTTCCAGCCTTTGTACATCCAGGAAAACTGGAAAGGTTCAGGATGCATGCCAGCAACACTTTGCTTCGCATTCATTCGGTACTACACATTCACACTTGGGCCATTTATGACCAGTTTTCTGCTGTTGGCCTCAGGTGTGAAACATATTTGTCAGTGGCACTGACACTGACAGTTTTTTTGGTCATATTAGTTTTCTGCTTTAATATACTGTGCAAAAACATTGTACAAACCAGGTATTGAATTTGAACCTCTCACATGGTAGGCAAGAAGTCCTCCTCTAAACCACTGATGCAACACCACTTCAGAGACACAGGTAGTTCAGGTAGTATTAGTTGGCCCTCTAGAGGCCTCAGGCTCCTGTGCACAGCGGCCAACAGTTACACCTTTAGCTGGGCACTGAGCAGCACCAGCAGAGCAGTTATGAGTTATGGTGTTTGTTCAAGGCCCCACTTTTCTAACCTTTATTCTCCAATGCTGAAGCCAAGGCACTGCTGGTTTCCTGTCATAACAGCTGCAGCAGTTGACTGCATTCACGTGGCATCCTAAAACAGCCCCTGATTAAGTGGGCAGAAAGAGAACCAGCAGAACCATGAACCATTACAACCTGAATTAAGTTGCTCTGCTTTGATTTTGCTCACTTCGCACTGCAAGATAATTAGAACAGCAAAATAATGTCTCATGTCTAGTCTACCAGTTGTACATGTTAAATAATCATTAGAGTCACTTTATGGATGCCCAGTTGTCCTCTTCTGCAGAGCAATGAGTGAGGAATCTTGTACCGGTGAGCCCCCTAGAGGTAGATATTTTAATTGCATCCTGGCTTATGCCCAGAGGGTTACCTGAGGATATAGACAACATGCCCGAGCTCTCAAATGTGACACATGGAACAAAAAGCCAGACACACTAAATGCATTCCTCTGTGGAAGCACCCAGGTTCATAAGTGTATTCTGTATGTCAAGTCTAAGTGCACCAACTGCCTTATTATATTACATAAGTCATCATATTATCAATACCTGCAATAGCTCAAAGTGCATTTTACATGATCAATGGAGCATCATTCTTGAATGTGATTTTGACTTACACCATTTGCTAGTTTGGTGCAAATACAATTCCTTGCAACAATTAGTAATTTGGCTTAAAATTCAGTTGAATTTGCAATATAGGTCTCACCTCAAAGTGCTAAAGGACACAAACTGCTGAAATTCTTAAGTAAAGGTAAGCATAGCAACTAATAATCAACTTTTCTGACAGAGCACTGCAACCCATGCTTTCAGCGTCTCTTCTTTTTTCTGCATGTGTTTCATTGCAAGCCACAGCTGCATGGGACTTAAACTCCTGACTACATGCCATGATATATTATTATACGTCTTCTTATTGTTTCCATTTTTCACAGATCACATGCACCTTCTTGTTTTACTCATGCCGATTAAACCTGCTGAGTAGGAAAACAGCGTGACCTCGCCTGTCCCTGGAACACTGTGTCTCCCTTTCGCGGACTGGCACAACGCCCAGACGGCTGCTGCTTGCGTGCCACCACTGTTTGGGTAGATTTGCATCTGGGCTCTAGAGAAAACTGGGATGATTCACCAGTCATTTTGTGTGTGTGTGTGTGTGTGTGTGTGTGTGTGTGTGTGTGTGTGTGTGTGTATGGTGTGTGTGTTCCTAGTTTAGTGTGTTGTCTCTCTCTGCTTTACTCTCACTTCCCAGTGGAACTATTTCTGTATCATTCTCCCAAGAGCAATAAACAATAAAATGCATTTGGGGGAGGTGATTATTTTAACTTAAACACAGATGTGTGAAGACCTTACAGTAACACAGAAACAGTACAGTAAGAAGGAGAGTATAAAGGAAGCCTGTCTGATGACAATGGGGTGGACATCCGGAATACAAGAGCAAAAAATAAATAAAAAAAGACCCAAACACTTTAGGTGGACACAAGCTGTCCATTTTATCACGCAATTGGGAAGTGGGGTTTTCATGACAAATTCCTATACTTTATAATATGAGAGCCTACCAGGGAGCTACGCCATGGACACCTGCACAAACACTCCAATTCATCACGAGGGTCAATGCATGTCAAGGCCTCTTCTGTTAAGTACAGTATATACAGTGCCAGTGTATGAATGAATAAGTTGGCAATGGCTGGACATGTTATTGTCCCCAAAGGAGGTTTTAGTCACAGTCTTCAGTGGGCTCATTTTTAGTTTCACAGAACACATAATTACATGTAAATGTACATGTAGATAGAGGACATTTTCCTAAGCTTTCTTCTATACAAATATAACTACTGCTTAGTGCAATAAAATGGGCAATGTGCCAGGCAAGTATTTCAATGCCTTGTTATCGCAGAGATCATAATTCCCCCCTGGCAAAACAGTTTAAAACACTTTGAGGAATGATGGATGTTTTATTTGGAAAAATAGTTATAATTCTCACACGCTCACAGAGACACCGTCACCATGGAAGGACTGCACATCAGTTCAGGGTTTTTGTATTGTCGATATTACATTTAGTTTCTTTACAGAAACACGAGGACACACCATTGGATTCACATGAAATACGATTCTGTGCTGTCTGTGCCGGTGACCTGCTGATCAGTAGAGATGTCAAAAATGCTGCGTGCTGAAGAAGGCAGCGTTACCAACTGTTTAAAACTTAAAATTAAAAAGATCGCATCAGTATGAGAAGGTGGCTTTCCCCTAGTTTCTCTGTTAAATAAAGAGAATACAGTCACCACAGTGCTGCACGTATCACTAGTAAATCATTTGCTTTTTCACTCAGGTACACTGTCAACAGCACAGGCTAAACTGTACTGAGACAATACACAAAAAACAGCTCACAATACACTATAGGGGAAAATGTCTAATATTTTTATATTTGAAACAATTGATATTGTCATATTAACATTAATAACTAGCTTATGTTATGTTACTTGACTACTAGGCTAGCAAATATTAGCAACTCAATGTGCCAATATGCCATTAATCATAGCTTATACAACTTTGAAGTCATCTGCCTATGTATTGCTGGCATCAGTTGGTTTCCCTGTTCATCTTTGTAGAATGCATTCAAGCATTTTCATTGACATACAGTATTTTAAAGAATTTAAGGCCCAGTTTCCATTGTCCTACAGTCTATATGTTACAGTAGCTCGTGCATCGATTGCCTGATTTTGGATAGGTGCTGGTTTCCTCCGTGCAACCTGTAAGAGAAATGTGACGAAGGTAAGCTTTCAGAATGCCGTAGAAGCCAGATTTCACATCTTCCCCAACTTGAAAGGTAGCTTACAAGTTGAAAATGAAATACAGCTTGAGGTAGCCAGGTTTATTTCATCGTATTTGTATTGTTTGTTGCTGTAGGTCAAAGTGGTCCCTGATAGTTCAAAACCTGATGTTTTTCCCCATTGCCCTTAAGCTTTTCAAGGAGCTGTAGCTGTGTGATGATGGTGC